TTTTCCATATTAAATTTATCCTACTACAGACATATTCTGGTCAAATTACAACTGTCATGTTATCACTGCATACTTATGTCAATAGCAAAACAAAAATCACTCCAAAACAGAGTTGCATTCTCAAAGTATACAATACAGTAATACATATAATTTGCTTCTCTACTTCAGTGAATGCATGATATCAGCAATGTTGTAAAACGTTCTTCTTCTTTCTTTGACTCTTTTTTTTTAACTGGTGGTACTGGGAATTGAACCCAGGACCTCATGCATGCTAAGCATGCTCTACCAATGAGTTATACCCACCCACCGCCCTAACGTTTTTAATCCCTAAAGTTGAGGGCACTTCTATAAACTGAAAGACAACTTTTCCAAACCAAGAGCTTCCTTTTTAACCTTTTTTACTTCTCAAATATTCTAGTTAAAAATCCTTTTAAAGTACTTAATAAGGTCCAGACCATCCTTAGAGGATGCCAGACCATGGCAAATTATACTGTGTGGTTAAATGATCAAGGGCAGACTTAAAGGTCAAAGAACTCACAAAGGTACATGGAGCAACTGGAGGAGAGGCCCAGCTCTCTTACCGAGCAGAGGAAGTACACACATACAGACAGCTGCCAGACCCCACCTTCTCCTTTGCTGCCACTTTTCCTCTTTCTGAAGCAGTGGGCTCCCCACCCTCAAACTGCAAATCCCAGGGTCAATGTCCCCATTAGCCAAGTCATCAAACAACATGTCTATGAAAAATATGAACTTGCATGGAAAAAAAGCTCAGAATTTCTACCGAATATACCCATTTTGCTAAATAAGTTTCAGGACAATCAAAAAAAACCTACTTTTGTATGTTCAGACATGTGTTTATCATACTTCTCTTGATTTTTAAAACCACGATCACAGGTATCACAAAAATAGTGAAAAACTGGTTCCTTTCTTTTCTGTAAACAAAAATGAAGAGGCATTAGGCTTCTGGTAAGAAATCTTTAATCAACAGTAAAAATATAACTATTCCTCTAGTAGTACATATTTTGATTTTCACATAAACCTTACATGTGGGAGAAACTTCTGAACACATTTCTAATGAAGGGATGATTCTGCTTCTTTCAAATTTTAACAATCACAAAAGGGTCAGCATGATAAAAATGTTAAAATCTGAGTAGTGCTAATATAAACTGTGAGTAGATTTCAAATTGGTAATCCAATTAAGACTTAGTATAGCAAACATCAAAATGACCTAAGAATAAATATTCAGGATAAAAACAGCATTTCTTCTTTTAGGAAAAACAAGTACACTATATATTTTTTAAAGTACAGAAGAGGAAAAAAATACAAGTTTCTTCTGTATAGCACAGGGAACTATACTCAGTATCCTGTCATAACCTTTAATGAAAAGAATCGGAAAATGAATATATGTATGTATATTCATGACTGGGACATTGTGCTGTATACCAGAAATTGACACATTGTAAATGACTGTACTTCAATAAAAAAAATAAATAAAAATAAATTTTTAAAAGTATGGAAGGGGGAAAAAAGAATGATTTAGGTAAATATTCATTTTTTTTAATTCTCAATTTGCTGTTTTTACATTTAAACATAAAACAGAAAAGATTATTGCAATGAGAGATATATAGGCAATGGTCTCCAAACGTTTAATGTTGATATTATAATAAATGTATCACACTTTCACTATATTTTATATATTAGCTACATAGTTTTCATGCCACACAAAGGGCACTAATTGCATGCTGCAGACCTTACTCAACTTATTCTAAACTAATGACATTATTTATACATCTTATAAGTTGAAAGACCAGATTGTAAGCTACATCAGAATAAAGGAAACCTATTTTAAGACTTGGTTACTGAACATAAGCAACTGATCCTCAATGGAAAAAGAAAAAACTTTTAATGGCATCCTTCCCCTCCCAATTTGCTAGTAATATAAGTATAATACATTATGTATAATTTATATTTTTTATTTAATTGAAGTTAAATAACATTTACATTTATCTATACTCATAATTTCCAATTATATTTACTCCTGATACTATATTAAAATGGATTTAATGTTTTCTTTTTCTATAATTTCTCCATTTATTTCTCAAAACGATTTTGGTTTACTTAAGCTAAGATCCTTAAAGATCCTTTTATAGCAAGGCTCTGCAGTGTCAATAATGGATGCAAAACACTAAGACAGTTATGACAGAAACTCAAGATATAAAACAGTGATATAGCAACCAAAGTGTCACATTCAAGAACATCTTTAAAAATACCTTTTTTTTCTGTTTTCTCCTGGGAGAGAAGCTGTTGAAGTTATTGGCATCTGCATCATGTCTTCGTGGAAAATAAGAATGTTTAACTGAAAAACAAAGAGATCCATAAATGTTCGCAATAATAAAATTATTGAAAATGTTATTTATTATAGCATGTCACAAGTACTTGAGTAAAAACAGTGGTAAACTACCTCTCCTAGGAAGACTAGTAGTTCAAACAAATTAACAAAGATTAAAAATAGTTTACCAAATATTTTTCAAATCAATACATATTGGTAAGATTATATGTCCATAGATGCTTCAGGCATTTAAGTAAAGGAATGGACAGGCTAACCTGGTAAAATTTCTATGTAACCTGATAAAACTCCTTGTAGTTATTTCTAATGTAGTTGTTTCTAATGTTTGACCATTAGAAATGCAAACCTTTAAAATCCCTGATACAGCTCTTTCAGATTCTATTTTACACAAGGAAAAGAGAACTTGTGAAATATCTTTTCTTTCAAATTCGTTTCCTTTCTTATTATCATGACCCTACTCTGAAACTTTGATCTTTCACCCAGATTACTGTGACAGCCTCCCAGACTGTCCTCCAGTTCCTAAACCCTCTCTTCCAGCAGACCCTGCATACTGACACTACAAAAATCATCCCCCAGTCACCACAACCCTGCTCACAACTCTGGAAGCAAATGGCTTCCCAGAGTCCGTCAATGAGATCCCACTTTATCTTCTCACCCTGCTCTTCCCCCATAACCTCCACATACTCGGCTTCAGTCACCACAGAACACTGCACCCTTCAGAACTCACCTTGTACTGACACCTCTTTGCCTGTATCTAAAAAGTATCTTTTCCTAAATCCTAAACATCCCCCAAAACGCTTCTTCCAAGAGCTTTTCCCAACTTCCTCCACACTCTGAAATCTCCTCCTACATGCCTCTAATACCAGTCACACTGTATTGAGATTTATATTTATGAACCCATCTCACCCGACTTAGTATTATCTTAGGTACATTTAATCCCCAGCATTTGGCACACAGTAAGCAATGATCTGGATTCAATTTAATGTAAGTTGAATCTTGTAGAAAGTTGGAGAATGGTTTAAAGTGAACAATCTTGTAGCTTTAAACATGATCTACATGCTGATGACACCCAAATTTACAGCTCTAGCCTCAACTCTCCCCTGAAAATACTAACTAATAGCTGTAAGTCAGTTCAGTACCTCTACTTGACACCTCCTGGTCTTCTTTACAAAGTTGCTCCATCCACACCTTTCCACTTATTTAGCAGAAAAACGTTAAGCTATTCTTGTCTCCCCTTTACCTCACACCCATATCCCGTCCTTCACCAAATTGGGTTGGCCTTACCCTACCTGCAAAATATATCTAGAATCCAACTACTTCTCATCAACTGCGGAGCTCCACCCTGCTCCAAGTCCCCTTTTAACAGCTCTCACTTAGTTAACTCCATTAACTTCCTGTCTCCCTTTCAGTCAATTCCCATCAACAGCCACAGTAATCCTTTTAAAACATAAATCAAACCACACCATTCCCCTGCACTAAGCATATCACAACAGTAAAAGTCAAAGTCCCATGATCTACAAAGACGTCTTTCCCAATCGCCTGCAAATCTGCCCCAGGCTCAGTCTTCTCTAGACACACTGGCTTCCATTCTGATCTATAGGTCCTGCCTCCAGGCCTTTGCACTTGCAGGTCCTTCTGCCTGTATCACCAACCCCCAGATGTATGCATTGCTCCATCCCTCACCTCCTTGAAGTTTTTGCTCAAATGTCACCTTACTGATGGCTGACACTGACATTTAAAACTGCACTGCCTGTCACTCTTCTCTGCTTTCCCTCTCCAGAGCACTAGCTGCCTTCTAACACACAATGCTTTATTTTGTTTTATTGCCTGTCTTCCTCCACCAGGGGATGTTAAGCTCCTTAAAGATAAGGTTTTTTTGTATGTTTTCTTTCCTGCTATATCCCCTGTTCCTGGTCCATAGGTGGAATTCAATAAATAATTGCTAAACTTAATGAACAGGGTGGGAAAACATAACTAACTGTGGGACAAATTGGGAGACATTAATACCCAGCCTCCAAGAATGCAGGCCAGTATCAGAAAGGGAGGAAAGGAAGGTGGATGAAATAGGAGCGGGGAAAAGGGAAGAAGTAAGGTAAGGAGTGGTACAGAGAGGCGTAACGACCTACCTGGAGTGTTGTGGGACTTCTGATGCTGAGGAAAGACACCCGGAGACTGAGTCCAGTACCATGATGTCGAGGCTTGGAAATTCCAGGAAGGCTGGCCATTGAGTTGAGGCTGAGAATTAAGAGGCAACTGAGCGACGAAGGAGGGCTGCGCCCCGGGAAGAATCTGGGTGTCCGAGTGGGGAGGCGCCTTGGGGAGAGCCTGGGCCTCCACAGCGGGCTGCGCCTCTGCGAAAGGCTCGGACCCTGCTGCGAGAGGCGACGAAGGCGGCGGTGGCGGCGGCAGCATGGCCCAGAGCATCCAGTTGTTCGGCAGCGAGGCACTGTCGCTCAGAGGTCCCGACGTGGGAGTCAGCTCGGGAGCTGGAAACCACCCGGTGGGAGTCACGAAACCACTTGCCGGTTCAGCCATGCCACCCGCCAGGTAACTAACCCAGCGTGCGAATGTGGCTCAAGCGTTAGGCATCACTTCCTTTAGCGTTGATGATACGGAACAGCCAATCACGGGCCTCTACGTCATTAGTCGGCGCCGGAAAGGCTTCCCGTATTTGCGGCGAATCGCGGGCTGCTTTGGGGAGAGATTTGACTCGGCCTGGGTACACTTGTATGTAGGACCAGTGTCTGCCACCGCGGATGGCGAGGGATCTGATCGGGCCGGCGCTACCGCCCGGCTTCAAGGCCCGCGGGTCAGCAGAGGACGAGGAGCGGGACCCCAGCCCAGGTAAGCGGCGTGTACCCTGCCCGCCAGACCCGCCCCCCTCGTCTCTGGCCCGGCCCAGCTTACTGAGTACCGGTCCCGAGGCCTAGGAGGGCAGAGAAGTGGCGAATGTGCTCAGCCCGACTGGAACTAACTTTCCTTCCCAGGCTGTGGCCGTGGGGAGGCAGCCATGGGGGCTGCAGAAACGAGCTTTGGCCGGTAATCATTATCCTGATGAGGTATTCCCATGTAACGCTTAATGGGCTGGACGCTGTGCTGAATGACGAATACAGATTCAGTCATTTAATCTTCCTGGAAACTGTATAAGGTAAAGATTTTATGTCGTGTTACACATGGAGACAGTTGAGGCCCAGGCTGTTGCCCAGACCACACAGCTACTAAGCGGTTTAGAACGAAGCCCGTGCTCCTAACGTTTGTGCCGTCTTGCTTTCTGACTTACAATGAATGCCGTTGGCTCTTGCAGAAGATGCTTTGTCCTCTAGCCCCCGACCTGCCTTTGTAGCCTCTTATCCTGTCATTGCATCAGACAGACACAGCCCTGCTCAAACCAATCCAAGTTTCTGCGCACTTCTTCAGTTCTCTAGGGTCCTTCAGGCCTCATTTTGCGCTTCTTGGCATCCCTGACAAACCTCTACCCTATCCTTCAAGACACAGACTAAATGTCACTTCAGTGAAGCCTTTCCAAACTCTCCCAGGCATTGTCAAACCCTCCTCATTACCCACGGGTTTTTTCCTACTTAATTACATCACATATTTGATACACTGTTTTTGAATAACTTTTTGGCATATCTGTCTCCACCATTGCACTATGGTCTTCTAGCCTTAACACATAGCAGGCACCCTCTATTTGCCAAATAAATGCTTCTCAGATTCCTCCATGATGAGAGTCTAGCTCCCTTAATGTTTGTTCTAATTTGTAGCCTGGGACTGACTGAAGTTGGTGAAGCTGAAAAAACAACCATCCCATTTCTGAATCTAAGTTGCATTCTTTGACTACCTAGAGGCCATGTTTCCACCTTGAAGTTTCTTTCCAGGTCTCATTTCTGCTATAGCCTTTAAAAAGTTAGGCTTTTATTTTAGCAAGGAAGATTCCGTTCAACTAGAGTTGAAGAAAAGTAGGGTTAACCAAAATTTTTAGTTGGGTTCCTATGCTTACGTTGGTTTTGGTTCACCATATTGCCTGATTTTAAACCAAGGCAGGATTTGCTGGTAAGCAACCACCATCCAAATAGATACTAGTATTGTGATTTGCTTCCATCATTCTGCCAGCTTTTACTTTAGACACTCCTTCTGTCTACTCTCTTCTGCTCGTTTCTTTTGTACAGTCATTCTCTCTCCACCCCTACCCTCAGCATTTAACATCGTATCTGTGTGTGTGTCGCCCTCTACCTTGACTGAATCTTACCCCAATCTGCCTGGCACATAAAAGATCCTTGGTCGTTATCAGCTGAATGAGTTCACTTCTTCATCAAGCACAGTATCTTGCACATAGCATGTCATTTTTTAACACGCAGTTCCCCTTACTATAATATCATTCCCTTCATAACCTCCTAGATGGCTGATGCTAAAACAGTTGCCAAAATAATCTTGAAATACGATTTTTTTTTAATTGAAGTATAGTCAATTTACAGTGTGTCAGTTTCTGGTGTACAGCACAATGTTTCAGCCATACATTTACATACATATATTTGTTTTCATATTCTTCTTCATTATGAGATACCACTTTTTATCTCATTATTCTTCCAGAATAATAGAAGTTTATTAGTACTAGTATCCTTGAAATTCACTGTATGACTTCATAGAAGTTCCCCTGGTGCCATCTTCCATTCTGCCTGCTTCTCCAGGCCTCTTTCAACCAAAGGGTCACCACTCTCCTGACCTATAACATTAGAGCTGAGTTTTCCATGCTTTTGCTTTTTATGTAAATGGGAAAATACAGTATGAACTCTTGTAACTGGCTTCATATTTTGGAATGGCGTTTTGAGAGAGTCTCCATGTTAATGAATTATTGTTGATGTTATTATAGATTGTTTACTGTCATTGCTGTAATAGTCCATTGTGTGAATGTCCTGCAGTTTCTTTCTCTATTTTACTATTAAGGAACGTTTGAATAGCTTCTTCTTTTTTGGCAGTTAAAAAAGTGCTGTTGTACATTCCAGTACATGTCTTTTGGTGAGCACATGTTGCATGTCTTGTGAAATTGTTGGGTCCTTGGATATGCATGTATTCGGCAGATACTGCGAAACAGTTCCCAAAGTCATACCAATTCACATTCCCACCAGCATGAATGAGAATTCTTGTCGTTCCATGTTCTCACTAATACTTGTTTTTTTCTGTCTTTTTAATCTGGTGATTTGTAGCAGTATCTGATTAGTAGTTTTAATTTGCATTTCCCTGGTGACAAATGAAGTTGACTGCCTTTTCATATATTTTTTGGCCATTTGGGTGCGTGTCACATCCAAGTCATTTGCTAATTTTCCACTGAGTTACCTGTCTTTTCTTACTGATTTGTAGAATTCTTTATATACTGAGGACAGAAGTCATTTTTCAGTTATGTGTATTGCAGATATCTTCTCTGATTCTGTGGGTAGCCTTTTCAGTCTCTTATGAGTGTATTTTGTTGAACAGAAGCTTTAAATGTTAATATATTCTAATTTCTAATTTTTCTTTTTTTATGGTTAGAGCTTTTCATTAAGTAATCTTTATGTACTCCAAGGTTACAGAACTGTTCTCCTGTGTTTTCCTTTAAAAGCATTATGGCTTCAGCTTTTGTATTTACATTTGCAGTCCATCTGGAATTGATTTTTGTGTATGGTGTAAGGTAGGGGGTGAAGTTTTTTTTTCACATGTGGGTGTCCAGTTAACCCACCACCCTCCCTTCCCCACTGTGCTACAATGTCATCTTCCTTAAAAATCAGGTGAATAGTGTATGTGCATCTAGTTTTTTTTTTCTTTTTCATTCTGGTAAAATATGCATAACATAACATTTATCATCTTAACCATTTTTAAGTGTACAATTTATTGTTGAAGTACATTCACATTGTTTTGCAATCATCACCACTATCCATAGAACTCTTTTCCTCTTGCAAAACCAAAACTCTATAACCGTTGAACACTAAGTCCTCATTACCCCTCTTCCCCTAGCCCTGGCAACCACTCTTCTACTTTCTGACTGTATGAATTTGACTCCTCTAGGTACACCCACGTAAATGGAATCATGCAATATTTTTTTGTGTTTGATTTATTTCACTTAACATAATGTCTTCAAGGTTCATACACATTGTAGCATGTGTTAGAATTTCCTTTGTAAGGCTGAATAATATTCCACACATGTACATACCACATAGACCACATTTTGTTTATGCATTCATCTGTTAGTGAGCACTTGGTTTGCTTCCACATTTTGGAAATTGTGAAAAATGCTGGTGTGAACAGGGGTGTACACATCTGTTTAAGTCCCTACTGTCAGTTCTTTTGAAAATACATCCAGAAGTGGATTTGCTAGATCATGTAAATAGTCTGTTTGATTTTTTTGAAGAACCGCCATAGTGTTTTCCACATTGGCTGCATTTTACATCCCCACCAGCAATGCACAAAGGTTCCAGTTTCTCACCATCCTTACCAGCACATGTTGCTTTTTGTCTGCTTTTTTATAATAGCCATTCTAATGGATGTGAAGTAGTAGCTCACTGAGGTTCCCATTTGTGTTTCCCTAACAATGAGTGATTTGGAGCCACTTCTCATGTGCTCATTGGCCTGTGCATCTAGTTTTAAGAAACTTGAAGTCTCCTTTCCTAAGGAAAAAAATCTAAATAACAGTGCTGTCCCCAATGTGTCAAATTTGTAATTGTCTAAAGATACACATTATGTGGTACTCTGACCCTAAATCAACAAAAAAGAAAAATTATTTTAAGAATACTTTGTTTTGGAAGAAAATATGGTCTTTTAGAAAGCTGCGAACTTCGTATTTTATCACATCAGGAGGCCCATAACACTTCAGTGTAAAGAATGAGTTTTGAGCTGAGCTGTAAATGCTTAGTAGAATCATTGAGACCAAGAGGTGTGAGGGAGCATTTGGACCAAGGAAATGACATGTATGAAGACTTTAAGGCGAGATGGAACAAGGTAGGCTCCGTGAACAGAGTGGACCAGGTGACTGAAGCAGAGAAGGTGAGGAGATGAGATTGCCCCTGCCCACCTGGATGCTCACATTCTAGCAGGAAGGCAAATAAGCAGAACCTCAGAGACCAAGTTAGGGAATTTTGGTCTCTATTCCAGGAGCAACAGATGTCTTTGGAGGGTTGTGGGTTTTTTAATATTTTTACTGAAGTGTAATATATACAGAAAATATACTTAAGGTGCACAGCTTGATGAATGTTCAGAGCTACACACAACAGTGTGACCAGTGTTTAGAAGGACCCTTTATGCCCCCTTTTAATCACTACTCCCTCCAAGAGTAACTACTTTCATGATTTCTAACAGCATAGATTGATTTTGCCTGTTTTTATACTTTTATGAATAGAATCATACAGTATGCAGTTTTTTCTGTAAGAAACAATTTTAAGAGCTTACAACAAAGGTCTGACATCAGATTTGCATGATAAAAAGATGAGATCCTTCAATGTCCCACCTACTTTCCATCCTCCTCTTCCCTCCCCTTTCAGGATTTGAATCTATTGCACAGATATTCACCAGGTGAAAAAGACTGGATTAACCTCTCAGTGCCTGGGGCTGTCCCAGTTTGAGCACTGAAAGTCCCACCTCCCAGGAAGCCTCCAAGTTCCAGGCAAACCAGCACAGTCAGTCCCCCTCATTTCTGTCTTCTGTAATAATGCACCTCAAACTTGAACAGGCACTCAGATCACCTGGAGATCTTGTTGAATTCATAGATCTGGATAAGGCCAGATGTTCAGCATTTCTAACAAGTTCCCAGGTGCTGCTGCTGCTCCTGCAGGTGCCAGGACACTGTGTAGGGAGGGATGGGTGCGTCCTGTGCTTGCTCT